TGGATCCAGTGAGCAGAGCACGGTGACCCAGATGGGCACAGCTGGGCTCAGCCAAGCAGCTCACAGGCATGGGATTGGCGAGGGATACTCCGGGCTGTCCTGGGCACCAACACTGCCAGCCTCAGCCCAGCCGGCCCCTGCCATGGGCAGCAGGACACCCACCACAGCCACAGCCATGCCACCCTCCAGTGGGGATGACACTGCGTTGGGACTCTTACGGCACTGCCTGGCCCCAGAGCCCCTCTGTGCCCTGACCAGGGCAGGTGCTGCACTGCCTGGAGCCCAGTGAGCAGCTGAGGGGTACCCAGTGAGCCCCCTGTGCCCTGGGGCACACTCAGCCCTGCACAGGGGGAGATGGAAAACGGGATGGGCGAACGCCAGGGGCTGAGCAGGCATCAGGCGGGGCAGGGCAGGTGAGGAGCAATGAGTCCAGCTTTTACCCAGTGTAAAAATAGGCTGAAAATGTGACATTTATTAAGTACGGTTCTGGCAGAAAGGTCAGAGAGAGTCCCCGCGTTGGGAGCAGCGCGGGTTACAGGAGGGATGGTGGCAGAGCCTTGCCAGGAGGAGGCAGGGGCGACAGCTTGCTGCCCCCTGCCCACTCCCCCCCCAGCCAGGATCTCTTGGGGTGCATGTGGGGTGCAGCTGAGGATGTTCTCCCTGTCTCGGCACAGGGGCTTCCCCCCCCAGGGTCTGCATGGAGTGCCCGGGAGAGCCCCTGCACCGTCCACATCCCGGGCAGGCGGGAGGCCCTGCCTGGAGAGCCGGGACCAGTGCCAGCTCCGAGAGGCGCTGCCAGCTCTCAGCAACCTCCCCGCTCCCCCCCAACCTCCAGCCCTGGCAGGACTGGCTTTGGCAGCCACAGATCAGAAACAAAAGGCTTTTGACAGGGGATGTGATTTTGAGAAAGGCACCGGGCTCCCGCCCGGCCATGAGCGGAGCCTCCTGCTGCAGCCGCTGCTGGCGAGCAGGCGGGATGTTGCTGCCAGCCAGGGGGGACCATCTCCACACACCTCCTCCCACGGCTCCCAGATCCCTGCCCACCCCAGCTGCCCGTCCCCTCTGTCCCCAAAGCACTGCTGGGAGGGCTCTCCCTTCTCACAGTGCCCCCTGACATGGCCAGCACTGGCCTCGGGCTGTGGCCGTGCTGGGGTGCCAGGCATGGGGGTGAGGGTGGGCGTGAGCCACCTGCCGCAGCTGAGCCCCAGCCCCGTGGGGACGCTTCCCAACCTCCCGCTTAATGGCACGTAAAGAGCGCTATTGATTTCCCGCGCCAGTGCTGCACGCTTCGCACCCTCGGCACCGCAGCTGCGCTCGCCCAGCCGGCAGGGCTCCGCACCCACCGCCCTCCCCAAGGCGCCGGACAGCGTGCCAGCAGGCAGTGGGCAGCAGGCAGGGGCAGCCCAGCCCCGCACCCCGAGGCACAGCGGGGATTGGGAGGCTGTGGAGAACAGCATGGCTCGGGGGGGGTCAGAAGAGGCTCCGGCATGGCCCTCCGGCAGCCGACACAGGGGGCACATTTGTCAGCAGGGCTGCAGGGGAGCCTTGCTGCAGCTCAGGGCTGTCCCTGCCACGTGGGGAGATTTACAGCCCAGCCGGGCTTTATTACATGGAAGATGCTTACGCTGGGGATTTTTTTCCCCCATAGTTTCTTAATTTGCTATCCCATAAAGAATGTGGATTTGTGACGTTAAATAGGGGAAGATCATTTACCACTTGCAGCTTTTACTTAAAGGATCCGCACGAGTTATTTATCATGTGAACACAGGCTGCAAGCAGCAGCGCGAGGCGACACGCTCCAGCCTCAGCGCTGCTCCTGCTCTGGAGCAGGCAGCTGGCCGGCAGCGGCCCCACAGCTTGGCCACCCTCGTGCTGTAAAACTTCCAGCCTCTGGATGAAGTCCACCTTGTGCCCATAGGAAAGGAAGGACTCCAGCACTCCTGCAAGCACGGCTGCAGGATAAGCTCCTTCCCTTCTCCGGCATCCCTGGGGATGTGACCTCTGCTCCAGGGGCTGCTCACCGTGGGCTGGGCGCCCTGGGACCCCAGGCCATTTGCCCCACTGGGATGTGCTGCAGTTTGGGAGCCCTCCATCACTGCTGGGACGTGCTGTGACTCACATATCCGCCCACTGCAGCGGGGGTACAAGAGCTTTCCGAACATAAAGGCACACATGGGGACTCAGGACTGGGACCGATGAAGCCTGGAGCTCCCCACCACATGACAGCTGGGTGCAGGGCAGCCCGGGTGCCCCTGCACTGGGGCCACAGCTGGGATGCATGGGAGCGCCCAAGCCCTCACATCACAGCTGGGACTCACCCTGCCTGCCAAGCAGCTCATGCTGTGTTTTAGTCGTTCCCAGGAGGAGGCACAAGGGACTGATTCGGCTCAGGGAATGGGAGTAGGAGGCTCCAGCTGCAAACGATTTGATGCCTCGACAGGTTCCGCTGCTGCCTGGCAAGGCTATGGGATATGGTATGCGGCAGAGAGAGGTCACATCTTCCCCCATCCCTCCCCACGCCCATGCCCTGCAGCCTCTGCTACCCCAGCTTCACCCCTTTGCTCCAGTCAAGTGAGAGGTGATGGGGACACCCCTTTCTGCTGACAGTCCCTGATGCCTCAAAGGCCGGGCTGGAGGGCTGAGCTGGGGACAGGGGGGTGAAGGCTGCAGGAGCCCCAGATTCCCCCTCCTTGGGCCAGGGGCTGCGGGTCGGCCGGCACTAACCATCCTCATGCCTGAAGCCTGCTCCAGTGCACAGTGCCGGCACACCGGAGCCCGGCTGCCCAGGCAACCCCAGGGCAGACCCGTAAGCAGCTGAGGCAGGCAGGCCAGCTGGTCCTGTATGGCCACCCACTGAGAAACCAGGTCCCGGTGACTGTCCTGGCAGTCACCCTCCACTGCCACGCAGCACGGCGCACGCCACACACCATGTCCACGCTGCGGGAAGCTTGTACCCAGCCCCATCCGCCTGAGCTCTGCCCTGCCAGCCTTGCAGTGTGGCTCAGCACACACTAAATCCCATTGCCATGCCGTGCCGCTGCCTGGCACAGTGCTGGGCTCGCTGCCTCCCCTGCAAGCCAAAGCTGTGTAGAATCCTCCAGGAGGACCCCAGGGCTGGAGCCAGTGTGGCCGAGCCACGTGCAGGACTGTCCAGCACCGGAGCTCCCTGCTCCCAGCCCCGCTGAACCGCACTTCTCCCCGGCAAACTCAGGCAGCTGGTGTAGAGCAGGCACAGAGCCCAGCAAAACCCCGGGAGGAGTGGGGCTGCCCCCTGGCTGCCCTCTGCTCCTTCCCACTCCACTGCAGTGCCCCATGCCACCCCCCTGCACAGGGCAGCCCCCCCGAAACGGCGCTTTCCCCGGGACAGCATCACCCTGCGCAGCGAGTAGGCATTGTACTGATGGGCACGAAGTGAAACAGGACATGCTGCATCAGCCATTTCCAGCCCCACGGAGCCTCCTCTCCCCCCGAGCATCCTGCACAGGCCGTGGCATCACATCCCCCTCCCCAGCGTGGAGCGGGCTCCGGCTGGCAGCACAGCTCCTGGGAGAGCAGCAAAGCAGCCGAGCAGTAGCCCCTGGCAGCCGTGGGAGAGAGGCGGCTCATTTCCAGAGTCATTACGGTCTGAAAAGGGTCCCATCAGGTATTCTGCCCGTTCAGCATATTTATTTTCCCAAACCACAGCGGGGATTTGTGATTCCAGGCTCAATATTAGCGAGAGCTGCACGCTGGTGGCGCCCGGCCGGGAGCTCGCCGCCTGGGCAGGCAGGGCGCTGCTGGGAAGAGGCCCTGCTAGCAGTCCCTGGGCAGCGAGTGGGCAGCCCCAGGCAGCCCCCTGCTCGCCCGGCCATAGCCATGCCTGTGGAGCAGAGCCGCTCAGCGTGTGTGTGTGCACACACGTGCGTATGCAATGCTGGCAGCCTCCGGGATTCACACACATCCCAGCACCACCCCCCCAAACGCAGGAGGGCTTCTTCCTTATGTGCAAAGGGGTCTCAGCCCACCCCCCCATCCACTCTCACTGTGCAAAGCACCCTGCAACAGAGTACTTCAACCCAGGGGGAAGCGCAGGCTGGAGTGGGGCTCTACACCACAGCCTTCCCACTGCCCGCTGCACACCCACCCCGGGGACCGCTGAGCCTCGCTCCCCCCCCCCCCCCCCCCCCCCCGCCCCCCACCCCCCC